TAATATATGTTAAATAAAAAATTATTTAAAATAATAATTAATTAATAATAAATATAAAATTTTATTAATTTATTTTGATTTTTATTTTATTATTAAATATAAAATATTAGACCTACTAGGGTTACAACAGAGGGAGACTATTGTTATACTCGTAGTAGTACTAGTATTTTAGAGCTAATTATAATTTAAACAAAGCGGATTTGTCTCCTCTTCAGTATAAAAGTTCTTAGGCCAAGAGAAGACCAAATAAAAAGAGAAAAAGGAAAGCGTATGATTTGGGTGGGAATGGATTTTAATTCTTAAAGACTTCTTTCATTTTCATTTTGTTTCCCGCGGAACTTTAATCCCCACCTCAATTTCCCAGAAAAAAGCATATTAATTCATCATCTTGATTCTTTCTCATTCTGAAGTGGATTTAAATTTTTCTTCTTTTTTTTTTTTTCTACCATTCAATTGTTAAATTATTTTTTTTCCTGGGTGTAGTAGCTTAATTTTGTCATTTTTCTATCGTATTTTCTGGGCTTCCAAAAGGGCGAATACGCGTAGCAAATCAAAGACCCAGCCAAAGTCAAAATGTAAGATCCAAACAGGGTCTTCATTCAAAGCTTGCTCGAATTGGTAACAGAGGGCAGAAGGTTAGAAGAAGGGAAGAAGATATTCAAATATGCGAATCTTTTAAACCGTGTTTTTTTCGTTCGGGTTCCCATATTTTTGGGCATTAGAACGACACTTTGTTTGTATTGGTCCCTTTTCATTATTACAGAACCTGTTTCTGCAAACTATTCAATTTTAGGACGGAATACGTGTGGATTCCGGTGTCTGAATCTGTGTGCTCTCATTTTCCTAGCTTGAGCTTTTTAAGGTTAGAAAGGCTGTTTCATTTTAATTTTCCTCTGCTTCTAAATTCTGGGTTTTATTTTTTTTTTTTTAATAATTTCTGGGTTTTTGTGCTAATGGCCTAAAACTTTATCTGGGGTTGTGTTCTTAGAGCTGGGATTCTCTCAATTTCCTTTTTTTTTTTTGGGTTTCTGTGTTCATATTTTCTTCCTTCATTCAATTTTTTAAGGTGTCCTGGGTTTTGAGTCTCTCTGCTCTGGTGTTCTCCTTGTAGAAACTACATTTCTGAAGTGAATTTTCTAGCCAAGATCACAGCTTTAGCTGTTCTTAACTGCCGTTTCTTCTAGTTTTGGAGGTCTTGTTTACTGGGTGATTGTTTCTTTTGCTTTTAATCCTTGAAAAGAATGCATTCACCAGGGAAAAATTTTCTGTGCTAAAAGGAGAAGTTTTTTGGGTGACCTCTTCTGCTAGAAATGGGTGGTGGAAGAAGGAAAAAGCTGCTTCTTAGCAAGATCTATCCGTTTACATGTGGGAAAGCATCATTCAGGGATGATCATTCACAGATTGGGAGGCCTGGATATTCCAGGGTAGTTTTCTGTAACGAACAGGACAACTTTGAGGCCGGAATCCGCAAGTACGCCGATAATTATGTCAGTACTACAAAGTATACTCCTGCTACTTTCTTGCCCAAATCCTTGTTTGAGCAGTTTAGGAGGGTGGCAAATTTTTACTTCTTGGTTGCTGGAACCTTGGCCTTCACTCCTCTTGCTCCATATTCCGCTGTCAGTGCTATCATCCCCCTAATAGTTATTATTGGTGCAACAATGGTGAAAGAGGGTATTGAGGATTGGCGGAGAAAGCAGCAGGTATGGCTTCATTTGCTTTCATTTTGGCTGAATTTAATGAATTTTGTTGAACCCAGTTTGGTGAATTTTTGCATTTTTTATTTTTAAACTGCAGCTGGATTGTCTTTAGGAAAATTTTGAAACAATAAGTTTTATGAGATTTGGGCTTTCTGGGGAACATGAATTTCCATGTAATTAAACGGAGAAAGTTGGTAATGGCAACCAGTCGTGTGGAAGTATACTTACAGAAAATCAGTAAGATTTTTGGCATAACTGTTTGCGTTGTGCTGTAGATATATGGAAACTTCAATTCTCACGCTTAACCGGTTCAATCCTTTGCTGCCGGGTGCATTTGATCACACCACCATATGGGAGTTAAATTTGTCTTTTTAGATTATGCGCATTTGAAGTTGTATTTGGATGTATGAGATGTAATATGAAGAATTAGTGAAATAGTATTAAAGTGAAGGATGCTGATTTTCTAAATTCTCTTACTGTGGTTTTGATGCTGAAAACTTTTCAGGATATTGAGGTGAACAATAGAAAGGTCAAAGTACATCAGCATGATGGGAAATTTGCTTATACTGAATGGAAGAATCTAAGAGTGGGAGATATAGTGAAGGTGGAGAAGGATGAATTCTTTCCAGCAGACCTCCTCTTGCTTTCATCTAGTTATGATGATGCAATCTGCTATGTTGAGACCATGAATCTTGATGGTGAAACAAATCTGAAACTAAAACAAGCACTAGAAGTAACTTCATCCATGCATGAAGACTCTCACTTCCAGAACTTTAGGGCTACCATTAAATGTGAAGACCGAAATGCAAATCTGTACTCATTTATTGGAGCCATGGAGCTTGAAGAGCAACAGTACCCCCTTTCAGCTCAACAACTTCTCCTCAGAGACTCCAAACTTCGAAATACAGAGTTCATATATGGTGCTGTTGTCTTCACTGGTCACGACACAAAGGTGATTCAGAATTCTACTGATCCCCCTTCAAAGAGAAGCAGAATTGAGAAGAAGATGGATCATATCATCTACTTCATGTTTTGTGCACTATTTACAATCGCATTTGTTGGTTCAATCATCTTTGGTGTTTTAACTAAAAATGACCTGGAAAATGGGAGCATGAAGAGGTGGTACCTTAGACCAGATAGTTCTACAATCTACTTTGACCCTAAAAGAGCACCTGTTGCAGCAATATATCACTTCCTTACAGCCCTACTACTGTATAGTTTCTTGATTCCTATTTCCTTGTATGTGTCAATAGAAATTGTCAAAGTTCTTCAGAGCATTTTCATCAATCAAGATCTTCAAATGTACCATGAGGAGTCTGACAAACCAGCACATGCCCGTACATCTAATTTGAATGAAGAGCTGGGTCAGGTTGACACAATACTGTCTGATAAGACTGGAACTTTGACCTGCAACTCAATGGAGTTCATCAAGTGTACTATTGCTGGGACAGCTTATGGTCGAGGGGCAACAGAGGTTGAGAGGGCCATGGGTAGAAGGAAAGGTTCACCCTTGGGTAATGGAAAAGTTAATGGTGTGACCAACACTCTGGATTCTACTGACACAAAGCCAATAGTTAAGGGCTTTAACTTTAAGGATGAAAGGATTATGAATGGAAACTGGATTAAAGAACCTCGAGCAGATGTCATCCAGAAGTTCTTTCGTCTGTTGGCAGTTTGTCATACAGCAATACCTGAAGTCGATGAAGATACGGGGAAGGTTTCTTATGAGGCTGAATCACCAGATGAAGCAGCATTTGTGATTGCAGCAAGAGAAGTTGGCTTTGAATTCTACAAAAGAACGCAAACAAGCATCTCAGTAAAGGAGCTAGACCTAGTGTCTGGCAGGAAAGTTGAAAGGTCAGCACACACCTTATAACTTAATTGATGGCCTTAATACTGTTACAAAAATCACCATGCTAAGCATGTCATATTATCTTGATATCCAGTTCCATAGGCAATGGTGCTGTGTGCTTGATCTGTAAAGTATGTTTGAGCAAATGACTTCATTTTGCAGGTTGTATAAACTTTTGAATGTTCTAGAATTTAACAGCACCAGGAAACGGATGTCTGTAATTGTTAAAGACGAGGAGGGCAAACTTCTAATCCTTTCTAAAGGAGCTGACAGGTCTGTGTTAAATTAAACTGAAGTCTTGCACACATTGACAATGCTAAATTTCACTTTTAAGTGCATTATGAGATCTTTATCATACATTTTCCCATGCAGTGTAATGTTTGAAAGACTTGCCGAAGGTGGAGAGTTTGAAGAGAATACAATGGAACACATGAATGAGTATGCTGATGCAGGCCTCAGGACACTAGTACTTGCATATCGGGAACTGAGTGAAGAAGAGTATAATGAGTTCAACCAGAAATTTTCAGGGGCCAAAAATTCAGTAAGTGCAGATCGTGAAACATTAATTGATGAAGTTGCAGAGAAGATTGAGAGGGATCTGATCCTCCTTGGTGCTACTGCTGTTGAGGATAAGCTCCAAAATGGGGTGGGTTGGAAAACATGTGGTTTATTTAGATGATTTTTATCTTTTTAGAGCTAGGCATGGGACTTACTGGGTTTTTATTCTGTTCTATCTCTTAGGTTCCTGATTGTATTGATAAGCTTGCACAAGCAGGCATTAAGCTTTGGGTTTTGACAGGAGACAAAATGGAAACTGCCATCAATATTGGGTATGATCTCTTGGTATGACTTTTTTGCTGCTTTTAAGTTAGAAGTTCTTTGGTATACTCTTCAAGCATTCTGACCTGAATTTGTAATTTTGCAGCTATGCTTGTAGTTTGCTTAGACAAGGAATGAAGCAGATCATAATCAATCTAGATTCTCCAGAAATCCAAGCATTGGAGAAAACCAGAGACAAGGCTGTCATCACTAAGGTAAATAAGTTTGAACTTATAATTCTTCTCTTCTTTCCAGTTCTGTAATTCATGTCTTAATGAATGCTTTATAACTTTGAGTGGCTTTATAGTGAGTAGCATATTCTTAAATTTTATATTGAGCCTTCAGAGATATTGTGTCTATAGATGATAAAAGGAGATGGCTTTTCTTCACCTCCTTGTTTATATTAAAGGAGATGTCTGTGATACAGGCTGCTTGCTAACTCCAGAATTGATGTAAAGATTCTGTTTGGAGTTGGAGATGTGTTGGCAAGAAAATGAAATTCTAACTTATCAGAAAAAAGGAGAGAAGATGACATGAACCTCCTCCTGGAGGAACATATAGCAAAATCTCCATTTCTGTTTATCCCTTTCTTGGAGTTAGTTAAAAGAATTGCAGATGTATTTTGGAATGAAGGGATTTGCTTTTCTATCAAACTATATTCTTCTTTTTCTTGGTATTCTTTTGGGGGAGTGGAGGGTTGATTTAGAAAAAGGAATTGCAGATGCATTGTATTAATACATGTATTCGTCCTCTACTTAGGCATCAAAAGAAAGTGTTCGAAATCAGTTAATGCAACGGAAAGTTCAACACACTGCATCAAGTGCAAACCATGATGCATTTGCTTTAATCATTGATGGGAAATCACTTGCTTATGCTCTAGAGGATGATATGAAGCAAATGTTTTTAGAGCTTGCATTGGAGTGTGCATCTGTCATTTGTTGCCGTTCTTCACCAAAACAGAAGGCGCTGGTAGGTTTATTTCCTTGACTGATTTTCTAACCTCAATATTCTAGGTTTATCTTCTTTTTCTGTTCTCCTTTTTTGGTTGTCCATTACATTATGTACTTGTGTTAAACTCAGGTGACAAGACTTGTGAAAACTGAAACTAGGAGAACAACATTAGCTATTGGAGATGGTGCTAATGATGTAGGAATGCTTCAAGAAGCAGATATTGGAGTTGGAATCAGTGGAGTTGAAGGAATGCAGGTACTTAAATAGATTATCTCTGTTGCTGAAGGATGTAAAACCTCCTGTTTGCTCTCTATGGCTGACGACCTGCTTTTATGCTTATTTCAATGCAGGCAGTGATGTCAAGTGATATTGCAATTGCTCAGTTTCGGTATTTGGAGCGGTTGCTTCTTGTGCATGGACATTGGTGTTATAGGAGGATTTCAACAATGGTAATAACACTCATATGTTGTTTACAACAGCAGCGACCAATTAAAACATCAAAGCTTTGATGCTTAAGAAACTGATCCGTTGTTTAAAAATTTTACCCAAGTACAGTCCTTAACAGCTTGAGTAATTGGTTTATTCTGTTTTGTAGATATGCTACTTCTTCTACAAGAACATTGTATTTGGCTTCTCTCTCTTTTTATATGAGGCACATGCATCATTCTCAGGAGAACCTGCATACAATGACTGGTATTTGTCACTTTATAATGTCTTCTTCTCATCACTTCCTGTTATTACTCTGGGTGTTTTCGACCAGGATGTGTCTGCACGGTATTGTCTCAAGGTATTCTCAAATTCTTGGTCAATGGATAACTTTTGTAGGCTTTTAGTAAAATCTCATAGTGGTTATTTGTGGCAGTTTCCTTTGTTATACCAAGAAGGGGTGCAAAATGTGCTATTCAGTTGGCGGCGAATATTTGGATGGATGTTCAACGGGTTATGTAGTTCCATAATTATTTTCTTCTTCTGCTCCAAAGCAATGGAGCACCAGGCCTTCAACGGTGACGGGAAAACCGTTAGTAGAGATATCTTAGGAGGGACAATGTATGCTTGCGTTGTCTGGGTTGTGAACTTGCAGATGGCACTTGCAATCAGCTACTTCACCTTAGTTCAACATATTGTCATTTGGGGCTCAATTGCTTTCTGGTATCTGTTTCAAGTGGTGTACGGTGCCATGCCTGTTAATTTCTCCACCAATGTCTACAAAGTCTTTGTTGAAGCACTTGCCCCTGCTCCTTCTTACTGGCTCATTACATTGTTTGGGGCAATCACAGCACTAATACCATATATCTTGTACTCATCAATCCAGATGCGGTTCTTCCCTATGTATCATGGAATGATACAGTGGATAAGGCAAGATGGTCAATTAAATGACCCTGTGTATTGCGAAATGGTGCGGCAGAGATCAATCCGGCCAACAACTGTGGGATTCACAGCACGCAAAGCGGCAAATTCTGGTCGCTTCGAATCTAGGAATCAGCAGTTGTCGCCTTCCTAGGTAATTTATTTGCTGACAGACTTGAACCAACAATGAAACATTTCATCTCCTACGTCAACATGGGTGTATGACATGAGCCTGTACGAGGTCACCACGTGATTTTCATAGGAAGAAGAAAATGTATAGAATCATGGGCTCACTGTTAGCATTTGTGGATGATAGAAATGCCCTGAAATTGTAAATTATGGTTCTCGGGGAATGGGGCTGCATGTATTTTTCCGGCTGGTTGCTGTACCTGCATCATGTGTAATCTTTTTGAGATAGTATGTTAAGTACATAACATAGATGATTCATTGTAGATTCCGCTGGCGGCTGTCACTTTTTTACAAAGAAAATTAATATAGTTCCAATTTTCATTGATACTACAACAAAGGTATTGTTCTTATCATCATTACTAGTATTATGATAATGTTGTTATATTTTCTTATAAAGTTGATTTTTCTTTTATTACTCGGTTCTCAATCTGATTTTTCAATAGATATACATACATAATTTACACATTCTCTTATATTGATTTTATTTGGTTATCTAATGCAATAAAATTGTAATGAAATCACTAATTTAATACAAAATAAAACTATTTCAATGTTAGGGACCATATCATGCTCGCAATACAATACAAATCTTAATATCAAACTTTACTTTTGTTAGATGAATTAAAGTGTATATTATGGTGAAGACATGGGAATTCATAGGAGGGCAAATTAACGTCAATTTCATGTTTTTTTTTCCTTTATAATACAAGTAGCAAATGCATGACATTAAAAAAAAAAAAAAGAAATTTAGAATATTGAGAAAAGTCATACGGTATCATATCAACCCACTCGAGATTGATCATGGTAAATATAATTTTTTGACGAGAAATTAAGCACATATGATCAGACAATGGATGGATATGTTGATGAAGATGGTGAAGATAATGATAGCTTCCATCCCAATCACCATTTCCATTTCCACCATAATAACCCGACAGTTTTATGCAGCTCTGAGGCCGAGAAAATCAGCGGCGGATTGCGCCATGATCGTCGTGAATTCGTTAAAACTGATCACACCGTCGCCATTGCTATCGGCGTTTCTCATCATCTCCGAAAGTTCTCGGTACGTCAACGGATGCCCCATTTTGGCCATGGATCCTGCCAGCTCCGAGGCGGTGATATACCCATTTCCGTCCCGATCGAAGGACCGGAAAACCTCCATTAATTGTTCCTGATTGACCAAAATCTGCTTGTTAATGTCGGGGAGGATGGCATTGACCAATTCGTCAAATTCAACGGAGCCGTTCCCGTTGGAGTCCATGTTGGCGAGCAAACCGTCGAGTTGCTCGCCGCTGGGCTTGAGGCCCAAGGAGCGGAGGAGGGCAGCGAGCTCCAGGTGGGTGATGCTGCCGTCGTGGTCCAAGTCGAAGCGATTGAAGATGTCCTGCAGTTGCTTTATCTCGTCGGAATAAATGGTGGCAGTCATGGTGGGTGAGGCTAACCGTACCGAGGAGGAGAAGGAGAAGGAGAAGCTTCCAATGCCTTTGGGAAATGTTGTGTGTTGTGTTTTGGGATTTTGGGTTGGTTAAGGTTGTGAGGCTTATGTTCTGTTTTGTTGATAGTTTCAATTTTCAGAACTAAAAAACCGCTTGTTATGGTACGAGGATTCGATGTTTATTTTTGGATTGGATCTTTTATGTGCAGTGACTTGCTGTCATTGTCTGATTTTAGTTTCCTGAATCTTTCTCAATCCTCTCAATACCAATGACTGCTAATTACAAAAACAAGGGTATCGTTGTTTTGATTTTAATTCATTGTTTGAGGATAAGATGCACAACAAGATTAGTTCTTTAGGACAGAAGAATGCCAGCCAAGGCCAATGACAGAAATGAATCGTAAGAGTTTCTGTATTGAGAAAGCAGTTTTGACTAGACTGTGAAACAATGACCATTAATAAATGAGAAAGTCAGCCGCATTCAGGGAGCATGTCCTCTATCAATAATCATAAGATATGCAACTGAACTGCATGTCATTTTCCGTATGTTTTAGTTTTTTTCTTTCTTTTTATACATTTGGAATTTGTAGTGGTAACAAATTTAGGGGAAAACGAAAAAACCTATATATAAACTTTACTATCAGTAAGTGTTGGAACAAAATTAGAATGGAGTAATTACAAGATAAGGGAATTTCATTAGAATTTTTTTTCCAGAAAAAAAGAAGCACAGTATATTTGGAGCCTACTAAAAGAAGCCAGAAACATGTATGGAGACAGATGAATCACCTTGTAAGTAAGCGTAAATGCATAATGCCCGGGATAGGATAACCAATGTCTCTGGCGGGCAATTCTGCGGATCTTTCCAACTTGAGTAGGTCTTTAGTTCATCTTGCAAACTCTCTGATTTTAGATGAATTCATCTCTCAAGCCTCAACACGTTCATATTCACTAAAACAATCTGTACTGTAATTTTGACCACTGAAGGCCATCCTCCTAAACCATCTGATTTCTTCAGATTGCCGTGCAGCGTTAAATGCCTCGCTTTCACCAACTTTCATTCCATTAGATAGATCCACAGTAGCTAAGCTTTCAAGAGCCCTTACAATCTGCGAAACATTAATAGACTCAGAAAGATGTACACTAATGTCATATTCCAAGTTTCCAATGTTTATTATAGACGATAGAAGAAAAAAGTTCCTATTTCTGCAGAATTAATTTTTTTGGTTACCTGTCCCATGCGTGGTCTCTTTGCAGCTAAATGTCTGACAGAAGCTGCAGCAGCCTCAACCATTCGAAACATTTCACTTTCAACATAGTTTCCACCAAGCCTTGGATCTGCCAGACTTCCGTATTCCTTAGTATCCAGTGCATTAGTCAGCAAAGGTCGGGCCTGCAGCATAAAATCAACTTCTTTAGAACTTTGAAGTTGTAAGATTTGGTAAATGCATTGGAGTTTTTTCTTAGACCTTCATTCTCATGCATCTTCTTGTTATTTTCATTTGTCGCAACTTTCTAAGCATGCATATCCTTAATGTTTACCAAATTAGATTTGAATGAAATTGAACACCCATTCTAGAAAAGAGTAGTAAAACCATTTCTTTATCATCTGAATGTCAAGGAAATTTTGCTTCTTTGTTTCAACCAACCATGAATCATGAAAGAACATAGAATTTCTCAAGTATCCTGCAGTTGAGGATGTCAGGAAAACTCAGGCTTCAGATGCAGAGTGGCAGGATGAAGCAAAAAAGTAAGAATTTACAACTAATGTCTTAAAGGGTTTGAGGCATGGCATCAGCCATCATGTATCATCCTTCCAAGTTATATGAACAGAAGGAAGAATTATTTCCTTTCCCCTTGGGATCATAAAAAACTATAGAAAGCAGAAGATAACACAACTACATTCAACCCATTAGTATATTACTACAAAATCCAAGACCTCAGCCAAAATAGAGTTTGATGCATCATATGCATGGTCATTGGAATGAAAGATGAATAATTTAGAAACATGTGATGGGACAGTAATTATTGCTTGTGTAGAAGATTTACCCATTCAACCAGACTTTCGTCTCCCAAGGGCTGAGATGTGTCTACAGGCTTCCGTCCAGTAATCAGCTCCAAAAGCACAACTCCAAAAGAAAATACATCAGATTTCTCGCTCAATTTGCCACACGTTGCATATTCAGGGGCAATGTATCTGAACAACAAATACAAACATGATTGATATATTTGTTTTGCACAGAATATCTTAAATTACTCCATGCCCCCATTAAATGAATATAGAAGTCCTCAGTCATCATCTACTTTATGGATGAATTAAGAACCTACCCAAAAGTTCCCATAACACGTGTTGTTATGTGTGTATTTGTATCAAGAGCTAACTTTGCAAGTCCAAAATCTGAAACCTATAAAGTAGAACACCAGAAATTATAAAACCATAATCTATAAACAGCAAGAACAGTTCAATGTAGTTTGAGAGATAACATGGAAAAGGACGATTATGCATACCCGAGCTTCAAATTTTTTATCTAAAAGAATGTTAGATGACTTGATATCCCTGTGAATAATACGAGGATGACCTGACATACAATACAATAGAAAGTATTAATAACATCCACTGACAATTTAATCAACTAGAAAAATGTTCATTCGATAACTGCTACAAACAAGTTCATGAGTAGTAATAAATTAAATTTGATATGAATCATATGATAAGAAGAACAAAATAATAGTGTTACTTGGCAGCAAACTTCTGTTTGATCTCTTCTGGTGACAACAGAAACAGATAAATAGTACTAAAAGTGCTTAGCATAATAAAAGTGCCTCTTTATGTAATTTTGAAGTGATATTACACTGTGATAAAAGCAGAAACAGTATATACACTTACAGTCTTCATGAAGATAAGCTATCCCACGAGCTGCACCAGCAGCAATTTTAATGCGTGTTGCCCAATCTAGAACTGGCCTACCTTTTCCTACAAAAGTATAGAAAAAGGCGGAACAATGCAAGATTAGTCATCCCACTTTGAAGAACCAACATTCCAAAGAAGCTCAGTTATAGCCTTACCATGAAGATGGAAATAAAGGGTATTATTAGGGACATAATCATAAACGAGCAGTCTTTGGTTCTCAGATATGCAGTATCCCACAAGTGAAACCAAATGGCGATGGTGTATGCGATGAATAATTTCAACTTCAGCTTTAAATTCTCTCTCTCCCTGCCCCCCACCAATCTTTAGCTGCTTTACAGCCACTTCCCTTCCATCTGGTAAGCTCCCTTTATACACACCACCAAATCCGCCTTCACCCAAAAGATTATGTTCTGAAAACCCATTTGTGGCTTTTACTAATTCTTCGTATGTAAACCATGTCCTCGAATTGCCTAAACCACCAGGTCCTTTAGGTGAGCTCATGTTACTCCCAGAACTACTCCCCACAATGGGAGCTGAGGAGCCCATCTTTATTAGGAATGAATCTGGGAAACAAGACATATTAATGGAATCAACTTCATAAACAGTCAGAAACTTAGAACTATATTAATATCACCCAAAAGTGCTCAACAAGAACATAAATAAAACTAGAATTCACCAATAAACTTCTCCATTCGTTGATTATCTAATGTGAAGACAATAAATGATAAACAAGTATCTAGGATCAACCTTTTCCAATTCCTAATCCATCCACTACATGTTTTACTAGAAGGAATATATATTTACTAAATGGACTTCATATTCTTCCAAACTTCTAAGTTTCCCACTTTCCCCATTTCTTTCTTGATAAGCAGCATTATAATTTGGACTCCTGCAATCATCATATTGTCCAATAATACTCAAATTGTGGATGAAAGGAAGCAGCAAGGATATTTATTTCAACCAGAATAGCCGATAGATGTTAAAATTCAATTTGATGTCCGTTGGAAAAAAAATGAGTGTTTGGAGTTAGTTATGATTTATGCCTTACTTACAAAAGAGTGAGCAATAAAATGTTAAAGAAGCAATAGTGCAGCTGTCATGGTTTTTACCTGATCTAGAGGAAAAACCTATAGGGGATGGCATAACATAAGCAGCATTGAGTCTCGTAAGCTTCCTCTTCCGTTTCCTCAAGCAACAGACAGCAAGACCAATAAGGCAAAGCACTATGATCACTACAGCTATGCCAATGGCAACTGCATCTCTATCACTAATACTAGGGTTTAAGCTTTCTGCTCCAGGATGAGAATTATTTACAGCTGGAGTATCTGGAACATGAGAAGGTGGTGCCGAACTTTTTCCAGATGATGGGCGCTTATGTTGAGAAGTGGGTGGGGGTGAAGATGGATTATTGCCAGCTGGTGATGGAGGTGGTGAATTTGGTAGAGGTTCCGGTGATGGTTTTGGTGTTGGTGGTGGAGGAGCTGGATTTGACGGTGCTGGTGCTAGTGCTGGTGCTGGTGCTGGTGCTGGAGAACTGGGATTTGATGGAGGTGGGGATGTAGGGGGTGGTGATGCAATGGCCCGTCGAGGAGGTGGTGGTGTAGCTGCAGGAGGAGGGGACCGAGTTGAGGGGCCTGGTGGGTTTGCACTAGGCTGAGGTGGGGAAGGTGTAGGAGATTGAGGAGGAGGAGAGTTCTGTGGCAGTGGAGCACTGGTAGAGGGTGGTTGTGGACTGCCGTTAGAAGGCAGTGGCACTGCAGAAGGAGAGGAATTTGGCCTTGGCGAAGTGGTCACCATCAAGTATGTTACCCAAATCAATATGATAATTCCCTGTCTAGTCCTCTAAATTCACACATCAAAATCTTTACTTTCATGAAACCTTTCCCAACTTACAAACTTTAGAATTCCAATCCATTCAATCACCAAACGTTACCAACCAATCTTCCTTACTTCAAGACTGAGTAACCTTCCCGGAGCCACACACAACAGTATGACAGTTCTGGTTATAAACAGAAACTAAATCACTAAAACAATTTACCACTCGAACCAAAATAAGAAAAACCTCTTTTTGAACTAAACCCAGATCACAGAATCACTTAGAAACCAAAACCCTTATCATCAATAACTTGGGAATCAAAAATATCTAGACTCTATCAACCTTTGAGCAATACCCAGATACCCAAATCACATAAATGGGAACCTATAATCCTCAATCAATAAACTGATATGTTAGCCATACCTAGTTTTACTAATATCCCATATCTTCCATTGATCAAACACAGCACGTTCATATACTAAAACTGGCTCAGAGTCAAGAGAAGAATTCCAACACTAAAAAAGGGTTAAAATAAAAACCCTTAACTTTTGCTCACCAATTCTTACTTGTTCTCCCTCTCCTTCCAAAGATGGAATTTTCCGATGACACCCAATTCTTTGTTCTTTGAAGCTTGTCTGAGTTCTCCGTCGCTCGCGTCCTGTTGAAACTTGATACAGAAACACGGAATGTGGGGCGAGAAGTCCTATTCAACTTTGAAAGCGACTACCCTACGATTTTTTAAATCTGACTTTTCAAATCCAACGTCAGTAAGAGCAATGCTAGGGGCACTCGCCTCCTGCACTCTCCGGCAAACACTCTCTCTTTTATTGGGCCACGTTATTTTGGTTTCGAGAGGTTGCGCCTGAAAGCTTTAAAGAAGCTTACGTGGCCCAATGAAAGGGGAAGTGTTGGCCGGAGGATGCAAAAAGCGAGTGCCCGTAGCACTGCTCACGTCAGTAAATGTAGGCCCCATTTATAATTAGAAAGATTATTTATTGTTTAATTCATTACTCCTAATTACAGTATTTAATTGAAAGTAAAAATCACGTACTAATTAATAATGTGTCTTTTACATTAGTGGATA